TGGTCCAGTGGTTAGAACTCTGTGCTTCCACTGCAGGGGCCCAGGTTCAATCCCTGATCGAAGAGCTAAGATCCTGCAAGCTGTGTGGCAAGGCTGGAAAAGAAAACGTTAACTACATGATAACCAGACTGTAGCCATGACACAGCTGCTCCATCTTACATAATTCCAAGAACCGACTCAAACAGGAAACATCCAGTGGGGTGGTCTCCCCCAGCTGCCGGGTCTCCTCCCCAAATGCCTCCAGGATGGGTAGGACCCTGTTTGCATTTCCAGGCTTTGTCCAGCTGTACCTGTGACAGGTCCCACCGGGCACCTGCGGGCACTGGGCTCACGGCCTGTTCCGGTGCCTCCTGCCTCGTTCTGGGGCCCCGTGGCCTGGATCTGGCAGCAAGTCCGCAGGCACTGAGTCCGCAGGCCTCAGCCTGGGGCCTCTGCTCTAAGCACCTCCGACCACTCCTCCACCAACGAGGCTGAAGGGCCACAAGGGCAGGTGCAGGCAGGGGAGTGACTGGCTGAGGGGCCCAGAGATAAGGGCGGCTGCAGTGTCGCGGGCACTTGTCAGAGTCAACAGGGACACAGCTCCTGGGCCAGGTGCTCCCGGAACTCCCATCCCTCCTCCTCTGGTTTCCTCAGCACCTGGACCAGGCAGACACTTAACGTCACGCAAGGCCTGGGATTCTCCCCTGAATTCCCACCTGGTTCCCTGAAAAATGATCCCCAGGTAAGGTCCCTCCCTCAGGCAGCTCTGTCCCTGAGCCTGGAGCTGGGGTCCGGGTGGCCAGCGATGGACCAGGCCCTCTTCCCCGGGGAGGGTAGGACGAGGGGACAGAGCTGGGCTGGGAGCCTCTCCAGCCGTAGCCCAGGCCTCAGGAAGTGCTACTTCTGAGGGGCTTGGACGTGAGGGGTAGGGTTGAGGAAAAGCCATCACCCTGGGGCTCGTGGCCACAGACTGGAGGCCAGAGTTTCCAGAGGAGGAAGCCCAGAGGGCCCAGGCAGTGACTCATGCTCAGGGGACCCTGTGGTCGCTCCTGCAGGGGGGACAGGGCTCAGGCCTGATGGGAGGTAAGCCCAGACCAGGAGAGATTTACCCCCCTGCTGGGCAGGGGCACAGCCAGCCCTGGGTGGGGCTGGTGGGGCCCACCAGACAGTGCTCTCAGCCTGCACAGGACCCATGGGGTAGGGGTGGGGGAGGCGATGCCGGGCTGGGCAGGGAAGGAGTGAAGAATGCCCTGGCCTCGTCCGGGATCAGCTGATCACCCTGGCCGCAGGCTGCTGGCACGTGGAGAACCAGATCCCCGAGCCCCAAACCCTGTGTCAGATGGCGCCAGGGCACAAGGAGAACCTGGAGTCCCCACTGGGCCCTTGGCAGACATCCCTCCAGGTGAGGGGGTCCCTGGAGGGCAGGAGGGAAGACCTTCTCTTGTGGTCCTTTCTGGGACTGGGGTGCTGTGGCCCCCACGGGCAGGTCCCCGGGCCAAAGCCGTCTCTGAGCCAGGTTCTCCAGCATCCCTGGTCTTTCCAGCGGGGGGACGCGAGCAAAGGTGCCCCAGCCCTGGCAGCAGCACGTCCCAGCCGTGGCCATGGCTGTGGGGAAAGCTTGGGAGGCCTCTCTTGCCCCCCCTCACCCCCGTGCTGGGGCTCAGCATCCTCCACCTTCCTCCACCTGTAGATGCGGCTGCCTCTGGCGCTCCTCGTGTTTCCCTTCCTGGGAGAAAGGGGTGAGTCCCGAGGCAGGGCGTCCGGCTGCCCTAGAACCCAGGCCCCGGCCCCCTGGGCAGTCTGTGGTCCCTCCGTGTTGGGTATTCTCTGGCCGGGAGGCAGGGGCCAGTCACCTGTGTCCCCCTCGCTCTGAGGTCCATCCTGGGCCCTCAAATTGTCCTGACTTTTTCTGCCCAGCTCTGTCCCCCAAGAGACAGGTGTGGGACCGCATCCAAACCAACCGGTTCTTGAAGCACCGTAACCTGCTCCCTGCGGCCTGCGCCCTGCGGGTCTGTGTGAGAATCCGCACAGTCCTGTGCCTTTTACAACTTTCAAAGTCCTTCCCCAAAGGCAGCTCATCTGTGCACAGCTCAGGGGCAAACTGAGACCCAGAACGCGGACCAAGACTTTCTAACCCCCCACGTGCTCGAGCTTTCCCGGGCCTTCTCTCACCTAAACCTCAGAACAACAGCCAGGGGACCCTGCCTCTCATCCCAGCAAGGGGACTGAGGCCTCCCCAGGTCTCCAACCTGGAAGCCATCCACCACCCACAGGGACCATTTGCATCTAAATTAATTAACATTAAATTAAAAATTTAGTCACACAAGCACATTTCAGGTACCAAGCATGTCCATCACTGTGGAAAGTTCCATGGGGCAGCTGTTTGGGGTTCAGAATCTAGACAGAATCTAGAGGTGAAGGTGGGAGGGGAGCCAACCCTTGGGCCCCACCCCTGGGCCTTGTTCTCATAGGGGGGCCACCTGGGGGGCTTGCTGGGCTGACCCGTGACCCTCGGGCCATTTCCACCCATCTCTCCACCAGTGATCGGCTTTGTCCCAGAGGTCCGCATCGTTGGGGGCATGGTGGCGTCCCCCTGGCAGTGGCCCTGACAGGTAAGCCTGAGAGAGCAGGGACAGCATGTCTGCGGAGGCAGCCTCGTCAGCCACCGGTGGGTGCTGACCGCCGCCCACTTCTTCTCCAAGTGAGTCCTGCTTCCCACTCGCTGAGAGGCCCCAGGCAGCTAGAGGGGAAGACAGTGCTGGCCCCCGACCACCCCCAGGACTCACTGCCCTTTGCAGCCCCCCGCAGGTGACTCAGATGCCCGCAGGCTGGGGTCACTCCAGCATCCAGCTTTCCTTCAGCAATTTGCCTCAGACACTGGCATTTTCTTCAAACTGTGAAAGAAAACATATTTTAATTATTTGACAGTACTTGGAAGTAGGCACTTTTTTCCTATTTTTAAAATTGTGGTTCAATACATATAACATAAAATTTCCCACCTCAGCCATTTCTAAGTGTCCAGTTCAGTGGTAATAAATACATTCATGTTGTTGGACAACCATCCCCACCATCCTCTCCAGCACTCTTTTCATCTTGTAAAACTGCAACTCTGTTCCATTAAATACTAACTGCCCATCCCCCTCCCCCAGCCCCTGGCGACCATCCTTCCACTTTCTTTTTTAAATTAATTAATTAATTAATTTATTTTTGGCTGCATTGGGTCTTCGGTGCTGCGCACAGGCTTTCTCTAGTTGCGGCGAGTGGGGGCTACTCTTCGTTGCGGTGTGTGGGCTTCTCATTGCAGTGGCTTCTCTTGTTGAGGAGCACAGGCTCTAGGCGCGCGGGCTTCAGTAGTTGTGGCGCATGAGCTTAGTTGCTCCACAGCATGATCTTCCCGGACCAGGGGTTGAACCCGTTTCCCCTGCATTGGCAGGTGGATTCTTAACCACTGCGCCACCAGGGAAGTCCCAGCCTTCCACTTTCTGTCTCTATGAATCTGACTCCTGTAAGGACCACACAGAAGCGGTATCGTACAGAACGGTCCTTTTGTATCTGGCTTATTTCACTTGGCATAATGTTCTCAAGGCTTATCTATGTTGTGGCAGGTGTCAGAATTTCCTTCCTTTTTAAGCCTGAATAATATTTCACTGTATGGATGGATCACATTTTATTGATCCATTCATCCACTGATGGACACTTGGGTTGTTTCCACCTTTGACTACTGTGAGTAACGCTGCGAAGAACATGGGTGTACATGAAAGCAGAAAACATTTAAAGAGCAAAATGCTCTTTGACAGTATTTGAAAACCAAAACCAAAACAAAGCCAACCTAAAGCAACTCAAGGCTGAATTCCACACGGAGATAATTCGAAATCAAAGATAGTCCCTCTCGAGGCTGAACCAAGGTGTCAGCTTAACTTTAACGGGTGCAATAATTAATACCTAACTGGCTGGTCCCAAGTGTAATCTGGGGGTAAATAAACCTTTCACTTTCTTTTGGTGCTGGAACCCTTTCTGGAACGTTCCTGGTAGAATTAAGTCCCAGGAATAATGATCAACAGTCCCTGGGGGCTTCCCGCATGCAGGCATGGTTCCAAGCACACTACATGGATCACTTTTTGCTCGTGACAACCTCCTGAGGTACGTACTAAAACCCCTATTTTCCAGATGGGGAAACTGAGGCACAAAACCTGAGGCCCTATAATAAGCAGGTGGCAGATACAGGATGTGAACCCAGGCAGTATGGGTCCCTCTGCAGCCCCAGTGAGCCCAACACCCTGAGAAGGGACATTCGGAATAGGAACAGTCCTGCAGGGTGACTTAAACCTCGCTCAGTGTCAGGAAGGCAAGGACACTCTTGAATAAGCACAGGGCTTCGGGCAGAGACCAGCTTCCTGGTGGGAATTCAGAAGATGCTTTGATCAAGAATCCCCTGCCTCATGGAGCTTTTGCACACTCCTCTCTTCAGGGGACCCCTTTCTGTCCCCATCTCAGGTCAACTTCCTACCTGCCTGAGGGCTCAGCTCAGCTGTCCTCAAATGCTGGGAGGGGGTCATCCGCCTCCCTCCGCCACCCCACCCCCTGCAGAGAACATGCCTCCCCAACTTCTTGTGGAACCACTGTGCTCCCCTGGCCGCCCTGCCCACCTGCCGGCATAGAACCCACCTGCCGTCCACTGCTGGTCTCACCCTCTACCATCTGGGCACCACCTGCCTCGCTGTCTGTGTAGCCTGGGAAGAGTGGGGCCCAGTCCATTCTGTCCCCCAGCAGCACAGGCCCCGCCTCACAGAGGGCTCTGGACAAAGGATGAATCGTCTTATCACATGGCTGGATGTTTACGCTGGAGTCTTTCTCCCCATCCAGACGCGGCCAGCCCTGTGTCCCCCAAGCCTAGATCCGACACAGTGGGACAGGGCTGAGCAGAGAGGGTCTGCGGGACTGAACAAAGCTCCCAGGTGCATGGTCCTCTCCCCCCAGGAGCCAGTCTGGGTGGGGCCGACACCACCATACTCTCTGTCCTCATGGCCCATCATGTCTCCTCCTGCTTCCCGCGTAGCTCCGTGAATCTGCAGGACCTGACCATCCAGCTGGGAGAGTCTGTCCTGTACACCAATCCCCAAGACTCCGTCTCCACAGCCGTCATCAGCATCGTCCGGCACCCCTCCTTCAACGGGAATGTGCTGCAGGGCAGCGACGTGGCCCTGGTGAAGCTGGCATGCACCGTGCCCTTCTCCTGCACCATCAGATTGGTCCCTCTGGCCTCACCAGGCTCCTACTTCCTGCTGGGCACCCTCTGCTGGGTGACTGGCTGGGGGGACCTCAGGCAGAATGGTGGGTGAGAGGCAAGGGGCTGGGGCTGGAGGGAGCTGCCCCAAGGTGGAGCAGAACGCACTGCGAGGAGGCAGTGAGTCACCCGCAGCTTCTCTGCCCGACCCTGTCCCCAAGGGCCTGGCCCAGCCCTCATCTTGCACCACCACTCACCTCGGGTCAGGCATCCGCCTCACCACCCACACGACGTGCAGCTGGCCGCCCGGGGAGGGGGCACATCCAGCCGCTGCTCCTAGCCATCCCCAGAGAGCAGGCATGGTTGCACACCCCACCTGTGGTCCCCGAGGACCCCTTCTCCCACCCTGACGCCCACTCTGCCCTCAGTGGCTCTGCTGGAGCCCCCACCGGCTGCAGGAGGTGGATGTGAGCATCAGCAGCCTGCAGGGTGCCGCAGGTTCTACCGCCCAGAGCCCATTGCCAAGGAGATGCTGTGTGCTGGCTATTTCCAGGGCCAGAAGGGCTTCTGCGAAGTCGGACCCCTGGCCAGTGCTCCTGGCCCAATCCTCCGCGGGGCCTGGGGAGTCACTGGCTCCCTCTGGGCCTGTTTCCCCTTAAGTACAGTGGGGTGAGGAAGCAGAGGCCCATTCACAGAGGATCTGTGATGCACCTCCCCAGTGCTTAGCCAGGCTCCCCAGGTCCCCTCTTACCCTACGTGACCCCAAGAGGCAGGCTGGGTCCTGGACTTGGGCCGGGGGGACATATTACAATCTTGCTCCATGAGGTTGGGGGCTTTGTCTCATCCCCGAGGTAGAACAGTGTCTGGCTTGGAGTCAGAGCTCGATGAATACTTTTTACAAGAATGGGTCCAGAGTCATTCTGACAATAAAAAGCCAGAAAATTCGGGCTCCGGCTGTCACAGGGAGGTGAGCAGGTGCTGCAAAGACACAGAGGAGTCCAGGTTCAACAAGGCCACGTGACTAGTAAGGGAGGCAGCATGCATCGGAGGACGCATCCAGGCTTCAGAATAATAATAAAGTGATTGAATTTCAGCGATGCTGTATACTAGCTGTGTGACCTTCAGCGAGTTGTTTGACCTCTCTGAGCCTCAGAGGCCTCAGCTCTTAAAAACAAAAAAGAGGCAGATAGAGCTGATATGCAGGGCTGCTAGGAGGACCAGATCAAGGACAGAGATCCTGCCGGGCTACCTGGAGCCTCAAAGAGCTTGCCCTGTGCGTCCCCCCACTCCCCGCCCCAGCATCCAGCCGTCTCGGTCCCTGTGCTCCCCGACTTCAGCCTCAGTCTGAGAGCTCGCACCCCCGGCAGCGTAGACCTGAGCCCCACTGGACTTGTCTGCTATTCTTGCTTCTTTCAGGGTGACTCCGGAGGCCCCCTGGTCTGCCAGCTCCAGGACAAGCGCTGGGTGCAGGTGGCAGTGGTGAGCTCCATCAGGGGCTGCGTTGAGCCCAGCCTCCCGGGGGTGTATGCCAGGGTCTCTGCCTACCAGCCCTGGATCCAGCACCAAGTGTTCCTGCCAGGGCACCTGCACAGGGGCTGACCCCTCCCCAGGGCTCGGCCTGCCATTCTTGCATCGTCTCTCCCAAGTTGCCCGTTTCTGCGTGACTCTTCCCCACTCTGCCTTGCTGTCCCTGCCTCTCCCAACCCCCACCCTGACCCCCATGTGGCCAGCGGACAAAAGATGGCCAAGGCATGACAGCGGTTTGACTTGCACCTGTTTAAGGCAAAGAGCTGGGCCAGGATGGAAGCACAAGCTGGGGGGTCCCTGGGGGCTGCTGGCACCCACCCGCCTCCCACCCACCAACACTAAATGCTTGGTAACCTGTTTCTCCGGCCTGTTCATTTGAACTGTCATGGGGCAGGGGGGTGCTGCAGGACCACTTATCCTCAGCAGAGACCCTCCAGGGGTGCTCTGTGTGCCCGTGGTCTGGGGTGGGGTGTGTGTGTATGGTGGGGAGAGGGGGGCAGGCTGTGGACGGTGCCAGCTCTCAAAGCAGAGGCCTGGTGCTCGCCCTAGGTGGGGTAGGCTGTGTAATTGGCAGGGTCTCTTGTTTAAAAAGCAGGAAATGGGGCTTCCCTGGTGGCGCAGTGGTTGAGGGTCCGCCTGCCGATGCAGGGGACGACGCGGGTTCGTGCCCCGGTCCGGGAGGATCCCACGTGCCGCGGAGCGGCTGGGCCCGTGAGCCATGGCCGCTGAGCCTGCGCGTCCGGAGCCTGTGCTTTGCAATGGGAGAGGCCACAACAGTGAGAGGCCCACGTACCGCAAAAAAAAAAAAAAAAAAAAAAAAAAAGCAGGAAATGACTTTTTCCCATTCTTTTGGCGTCTCTCCACGAGTCTCGCTCTTTGGGGCACGGGACACTGCGGGGCGAGCGCGGAGCTTCCAGGGCGGGTGCAGCCGGGAGGGTAGGGAAGCAGGCCTGCCCCACCTTGCTCAGTAGCTCCGCCATCCCGGGACTTTACCGGGACTTTTCACCAAAAGTCACCTGCTCAGCCCTTCCAGGCACAGAACGTGAGCGCTGCCCCACCCCCACCCTGTGGTGTGCCTCCCGCACCCCCAGTTCCCAACCTCACCTGCAGCCGCCCAGTTGCCTGTGCCACACACCTGAAGTCAGAGGCTCTGCCGGCGTCCTACAGAGAGAGCAGAGAGCTCAGCGGTCTGCGTCTGCGCGCCCGGCCCGCCCTGTGGCCCCTGGCGAAGGAGGGAGGGCGGCCCTGATTGGGTCCCTGTGCGTGCTCGGTCCCCAGGACTTGGCCTAATCCCGCGGGCCTGGCTGGGAAGGGGGTCTCGGCCCCGCTTCTTGCCTATACCCGGACCGGGCACTGGCTAGGAAGAGGGTCCGAGGGGACCTTCCTCAGTCCGGTGGTCGAGCAGGCAGGGCCCCAGCTCCTGGGTCCAGACAAGGCCGAAAGGGGACTGCGGTGGGGTCTTGGGGCCTTGGAGTCCCTGGTGGAACCGCGAGGCCCCCCCCTGCCTCCTGTCCACGTCTCAGCGCCCCCCGGCTGCCCTGCCTCCTGTGCGGAGGGCAGGCCCGGCTGCTGTAGCCTGTCCCAGCCTGGGAAGGCCTCTCCCCTCCCTGGAAGAATCCAGGGTCATTGTTGAAAGCCTGCTGGGACACCCCCACCAAACCTAAAAACTGTGGTGGAGCGTCTGGATTCCCGATGCTGTCCAGCTAGACTGACCTTGGCGTCGTACGGAGAAAGGCCCAGTGCACGTGTGTTGGGTGTGAGAAAGAGGCTGCTCTTAGGGGACACTTGGGTGAGGGGCTGCATGGATCCTGAGAACCCCCGGCTCCCTCTGTCTGCTGTATGGCCTCAGGAAAGTACCTCCCCCCTGGTCCCCAGACTCCTCATTAATACAAGGATGGTCTGGGATAGATGCTCTAACTCAGCTCCTGGGCATCTCTAACCTGAGCCCCCAGATCCTCCTCCCTGGGTTCTTGGTGTCAACTCCAAGTCCTGGGATTCATCCGCGGGGGGGAGGGTAGCCTACGTGAGAGAGAGATGCTCAGACACAAGTGCATAGGCACCTGTACACACAGCCCTGGCTGGAGGCCGGAGACCTGCATTCCCTCACATCAACAATGCCCCCGACCACTGGGAGAGGGGCTGAGCTAGCCGCAGGCATTCCCTTTTGTCCAGGTCCAGCACCCTCTGGGACCCGGGGTCTCCTTTCCCAGCCCTGGAGTCAGGCTCTCCGCTGACTGAGGCACCCTGGGGCTGTGGCTCAGGACGCCTCTCCTGATGAGGGTGCACGCACCTCGTGGAGACTTCTGGGTGCGTGAGGCATCTCCCAGCATCTCAGCCACATCCTACTCGGTAGCAAATTGCTGTTGTGAGCTGAGTGAGGGTTGGAAGGGAGGGGGTGATGAGAGGGGCTGGTAGTGGGGTGGTGGGGGCACTGGGAGAGGCTGAGGAGCAAGCAAGACGCAGCAGTGGCGTGAGTTAGGCACCTTGCAAGATTTCTTCTGAGCGGGGCCAGAGTTCCCAAGGGCCAGAAATTAGGAAGGAGGAAGGGACCCGTGAGCCCCAGGGCCGCCCACCGCTCCAGACCCACACGTGACAAGCTTCATCCACCACGACCCCAAGGAACGACGTCAGTTCCCTTTTATAAATGAAATCAGCTGAGGGTCAGGAAGATTTGCTGACTGGCCTGAGGTCTCACAGCTAGAAGATGACCACATCCCAGGGGCTGCTTTGTAGATATTCATTAGCTGAAAGTCTGTGTGCCCACAGCTCAGTCCATGCTAAGTTACTGTTTTTCCGGGGCAAATATGGGTTTGTGCTCACATATCTCAAGACAAATACCTTTGGAAAAAGACTTCCATGGTTCAAACTTTTAAAAAAAATTCAGCTTTATTATGGTATCATTTAAAAACACACTTATTGGGACTTCCCTGGAGGTCCAGCGGCTAGGACTCCATGGTTCCACTACAGGGGGCACGGGTTCGATCCCTGGTTGGGGTACTAAGATCCCACAAGCTGCAATGTGGCCAAAAAAAAAAAAAAAAACAACCAAGCAAAAAAACCACTTATTTAAAATTTGCCAATTTTAAGTCTACAGTTCAAAGACTTGGACAAAAGTATACAGCCCTGTAACCACCACCACCATCAAGTTTACTACATTCCCACCATCCCAAACATTCCCTCCTGTCCCTTTGCAACCAGTCTCCTCCCCACACAGAAACTGGAGAGGGAGCAGGGAAGTCCCGGGATGGGGGAGGAAGGATAGAGGAGGAGCTGAAGGCCAGGCTCTACTGGCAGGCTCCACCTGTTCCTTCTGTACACCCGGCAGGGAGGGCCTGTCACCTGCATTTGTCCCTATGTGGACACTGTGGCCTGGTAGCAAGTGGCCGACTCAGGGGCACACAGACTACAGCAGGGCCAGGTCAGACCCCACGCGGCCTGGCTGCAAAGCCTTTTCTCCCCACCTGGGCAGGGATTGGAGTCAATGCCACCCCCTCCAGGAAGCCCTCCCTGGTTCCTGCTGAGCATACTGTCTCCTCTCCTCAACCCTGGTCTTTGGGGTTTCTCAGGAGGGTCCCAGATCAAGGTCCAGACTGAGCCCAGTGGAGACAGCTCAGGCCCTGTGACTGGAGTCTCTGTGCCAGCTCACCCCCTCCCCCCATTGTCTCTTTCCCCCCACCTGTCCCCAGGTCCCGTGGTCTCCATCAGTCAGGCACAGCACCAGCTGCCCAGCTGCCCTTCCTAACTGTCCTCTGTCCTGCCAGGGCCTGATAACAGAGCTGATTAGGGCCCCTGGGAGGGGCTGGGACTTTCCTGCCCCTCCCTCCTTCCTGCCCCAGCTCCCAACCCAGCTCCTAAGCACCGGGACCCTTGTGGGTCCCTCTGAGACCTTCTAGGTCAGCCACCCCCTCTTAGGTGGGGGGAAACTGAGGCACAGGGGCGGGTGGAGAGCTGCCTGATGATCCACAGGGTGGGGGAGGGAGGCACAGACTGGTCTTCTTCCCACCAGCGCCAGGCCCGGAGCCACGGCTTGGACGCGTGTGCTCCACGTTTGACCTGGTGACAAATAAGGACAAATAAGGATGACAGCGACACCACCTCTGTGTGTGGGGCCTGTACTGAGCCCGTGAGGACTGCACACCTGGGAGGCTGTCCCCGTCAGCCAGGCACGGGGTGGGGGAGGGAGGAATCGGAGCCTAGTCTGCCCCTCCTAGGGCCCAGGAGGCCTGGGCTCACCCTGTATGGAGGGCGGAGGCAGGTCTGGAAAGACCCAGGTCCTCTGACTCTGGGAACCCCAGTGCCATCCCCGGGTCCCACTTCTGGGCCCCCACCTGTCCCGGCTCAACTCACTCCAGCACTGGGGACCTCTCTCCCTACCTGCACCCCATCACATGGCTCCCTGCAGGGCCCTTAACACCCCCAGGGTTCCAGCCTGCTGTTGAGAAAGAAACTCAGAATTTCATCCCCTCGATGTCCCCTTGATGTCTTTGTGACACGGTGCTGTTTCTGTTCCCACTTGCCAGGAGGGCAAACTGAGGCATGGGGCATGGGAGGGGTGTGTCCTGCCCGAAGTGCTCCCTCCCCGGCCCTGGGGATGCCCTTGTGGCCCAGGACGGGGTGAGGGGCCCTGTCGCCCAGCGTTACTGGGTCATGTGGGCCCACATGTTGGGAGGACACCTGGACAGTCCCATATCTAGGACTGGACCCTCATCCTGGCTCCCACCCCTGGCACCAACAGCTCACCCACTCAGACTGTCCTCCGGCCCGAGCCCTGACCCTTCCAGATTGAGCCGTGCTCACTCTTACCTGTAGTCAGTATCTGGGTCTGTTTTTCAGGGATACAGGGACCCCCCGGGTGTAAGCTCATGCCCTGCCCTGTTCCCCTGCCCCACCCCCGGCCTGCAGCATCTCAGGTCTGCAGCTCTGGGACTCCAGCGCCCAATTCTTATCCTCCCACCTACCTGATCCCCTGAAATACCCCTCCCTCCACACTCCACCCAGCCCAAGGCCATGTTGTACAGGCTTAAGAAAATTCTGGAAGTCATCACCCCAACAACAGATAGGAATGATCTCTG